TTTAATTACCATTGGCCATGAAAAACATTAGAACATAGGAAATACTACACTGGATTGGATCAGTGGTCCATCTAATCCCATATCCTATCTCTGACAATGCTACTACCAAACACTTCAGAAGACAGTGCAAGAAACCCCATGGTGGACTGCTTTAGAATAACATGTCCAGATGGGAAATTTCTTCCTAGTCCGTTAGTCAGTGGTTGTATTATGCCTTGATGAATATGGGTTTATATTCCTTCTAAAAATAATTATCCTATCTAACTTATCTGTGGATATTTTCATGATCCATGTAAAGGCCTACTCCTTTTGAATCCTATTGAACTCTCCCATGACATATTGTGGCAATGAGTTCCACAGGTTAATTATGTGCTTTGTTAAACAAAATTCACTGTATAAGTTTTTAGTTTATTGCCTTAATTGAATTGAATTGAATGTCCCAATGTTCTTAGAGAAAAATATATGAACACTCTATTCACTATATCCCAGTACAGTAATTTGTGTATCTCTGTCATGTCTCCTTTTATCCATCTCCTTTCCAAACTAAACAGTTTCAGTTTTTCTGCTCTCTCCTTATATGGATATCTTTTGATTCCTCTAAATCATTTTTGTTGCCTGTCTCTGCACTCTTGTTACTTTTTTTTTCGATAGTTGACAAGAACTAAAAACAATTTACCATTGATTAATATATAATGGAATTCAAACATTAGCAGTACTACTTGCTGCCCTATTCCTTATGCAGCCTAACGATCTGAGTTTCAACCACTGCTGCAGAATGAATGAGGTTTTCGCTGAGCTGCCCAGGTCTTTTTCTTCAATGGTTATGCTTAGTTTAGATCCCAGCAATATGAATTACCTTGCATTTGTCAACACTGAAATTCATTATGCCACTATGCTACACATTCAGCTAGCTTTGTCTCACATTCAGCTAGCCTCTAAAGTTCCTCACGATCTTGAGTAACCTAAATCTGAGTCATCTGAAAATGTTGCTACTTCATTCACCCACTTTTGCAGACTACTACATAATATTTTAAACATTGATCTGAGTTCAGATTCCTAGGGCATACTTCCACCCTATTGAAAATTGACCTTTTATTCCTACTGTTTGTTTATGATCTCTTAGCCGATTTCTAATTCATGACAGTACTCCCAACTCTCAATCATGACTATTCTGTTTCCTTTGCAGCCTGTTACGAAGTACATTTTGAAAGTCCATAAATGATATCATATTCTTTGGTTGACCTGGTAAAAGAAAGCTAGTAGGTAAGAGAGGCACATTTTTCCCTTTTGTAACCCAGGCTGTTTTCCCCTGATTATAAAATCTTCATTTTGATATAAAAGTTATAATATTTTATAAAAACAATCTTTTTAGTCAGTTCACCTGGTAGTATAGTACGGGTCACTTGCATGTAATTCTCAAGATCATCCCTCGTCTTTTTAAAGGATAAGTGCAACAGTTGCTACACTTTGGTATATTCACTGATATGAGAGACTTTATGTTAGAAACTCATATTCTTCATTCTTGAGTGTCTTCAGAGAGAGAGAGAGTGTGTGTGTGTGTGTGTGTGTGTGTAGATAGATATAGATGCACCTTAACTTCTGACAGTCTGACAGTCTCTCCCTTTATTACCTGAGAAATTAGGCTAATAGAGTTTAAGGCTAGTCTGACTTTCTGTATTTCACAGGCCACCTCACCCAGTTACCCCTGCATTGAGCCCGGTAACTTGTGTTTGGTTAAAGCATATCTTCCAGAAAGGTGTCCAGGTCTGGGGTAGGTGTCATCCCATTGTCTTCTGTGGTGGAGACTGGCACAAAGAATTTTTAAAGACAAAATTAAACCATTAGGCTCAGCCCAGAGTAAGAGGCAGTGTGGAAACTGCACCATCCCAAAAATAGCCTGGGCAAGAATTGTCTCTCATACAGTCATATTTTTTCCCTGGGTTTTCCTTCATCTGAGGAGGAGTATTTTATTTTTCTGCTTTTTGGGATGCAGCTTAACTCCCCCTCCCTCCTGGCCAGTGTGAAGGTGGGGGAGGGACAGAAAGCTAAAGCTCCATCCACTCCCCTCACACTTGCCTGCCAGGAGGAGTGCTGCTGCGGGACCCTGACTAAGAAGCTGAGCTAATGCGGTCATGGAGCTGAGTGAGAGACGGTGTGCTTACTCTTCTGTGTGAGCAAGTAGCTCAAGGTCATAATCAATATTTTGTGCAATGCCTTTTATCCTCCTTATTCGCTCCCTTTATTTCCTGGCATTCCAGCAGACCTGCCATTTGTCTCACAGGCTTCCTGCTTCCCATAGTCATCAGTAATTTTTTTTTGTCATTGGCTTTTTTAATCTTCATATTCCCTCTTTATGTTCCTAATTTCTATCTGAAATTTTACCCACAAGAGTTTATGCTACTTTCTACCTGCTTCACATGGACTGCACTTTAGTTTTTGGAAGAGGATACCTGTTTGCTTCAAATAATCTCTTGTACAATACATTTTTACCGCATGTGGTTTTTTTCCCCTTGCCATCTTGCTTCTCTTTTAAGGTATGAATACCTTGGATTTTTTAACTGTGTTAAGGTATGCCTAAATAACCTTCGATAGCTATAAGCAGAATTCTTCATTTAAGTTGAGGGAAGTTCTGATTAATAATCAATAGCACAATATGGCTCTGTGATTCCATGTCCGTTATTTTAAAATACATAATGCATATGTACCTTTCAGCTTTTCCCTAGATGACTGTTCTGCTTTAGATAGCAACATTGGACCTCTTCCTACAAGCCTGTAGTCTATTAAGGCTCTCCACCTCCACTCTTTTCTTCCTGCCTCCCTCCATAATAAAAGGCTCAATATTTTTATATTGGATTTGAAAAACTAAATCATTGGGAGCTGTGTGCCTCCAGATTCAGCGGTTCAGGGAGAAGGCGCCAGCCTTTCGCCCATCCATAGTGGGAAGTGTCTTGGAAGTTTCTCCTTTTATGCTTGCCACTTTGAAGCTGCTTAAACCTATCTGGAGGCTTAGTTCCCAATAGCACAAGTGAACTGAGGGTGCGCTTCCTATTAAGTTTTCCTGATGGCAATGAGTCTTATTGCTCTAACAGGAAGAGAGAGAATAGACAACAGGTTGAGATGGAGGACCTTAAGGCAATGAATGTGAGTGAAGGAAGGAACAGCTGTCATTATCTAGAGCAATATTAGAGTATCATGAAATGTATGGGCACCACCTGTGGAAAACCTTATGAAAAAGAAAAACGTATTTATGAAGCCTCTTGAGGTAAACTGCAAGGCATCTTCCTAACATCCTCCCTCTATTGTATAGGGGTAGCAGCCTCATGGAAGAAGCAGGGGCAGGGCCTGCAATGTGCAGATTAGGGTTACACAGGAAACTCTAGCCCCAACTTTGATGTATGGAGCAGATATCTGTGAATTTTGGGTCTCTCCTCACATCTAACAGTGTGGCTAGCTAGCTCCTTTACTGGCGGTGCCAGTAGTTCACTCTCTCTTGAGATGGACACTCCGAAACCCCTTCATGGGCATCTTGAATAACTAATGCTAATTATAGCCAAAATTAACCTCTGGGTTTTTGCTGTGGTGTTTTACTCACTGTTATAGGCTCTTTACCAGTGCAGGTCCCCTGCCTGGCCTTTAATCCCATCAATTGCCATTGGAACCCCAACTGTGTAAAGATCACTCAAAAGAGCTTCTGTGCAATAGTGGAGCAGTGGGAGCATTTTTTGTAGGCACTGCTCCCCTCCATACAGTCTTCTCACCTCTTTTCCTCACACATTGGCTCCTTTCCATGCTGTGTAATTGGTGGGAGCACCTGGATCATGATGAATAATATCACTATAAGATGTATTGTACTGCTGATATATTGCAAGACAGGATGGTGTTATGTTTCTTAATGTACAATGTTAAGATATCCACAGTACATTGAATTATAAAAATTCAGTGCTGTATAGGGCCCAACTCTATCAGCCTTATTCACCCTCTGTAGCACCTTACCGCACAAGTAATTCATGATTTCAGTGAAACTACTTGTAAAGCAAGGAACTGTATAACATGAAGGCAGAAATAAGCTTGCTGAAATTAAACTACAGAGTAGTAAATAATAGTGATACTTCTACATAGTACTTTTCACCCAGAGATCTCGAAGTAAAAGCTTTATACCGGAGGTATCGTTATCCCCATTTTACAGATTGAGGAACTGAAGCATAAAGGAGGGAAATGACTTGCCCAAGGTCACCCAGCGAGTCAGTGGTAGAGCCAGGAATGGAGCCCAGATTTCCTGAGCTGACAATCCGGTGCTCTTTCCATTAGGCTACACTGCCTCCCATAAATGTAAATACAATAGAGTTGGTTCCATGGTTTGGTAAGACCAGGGGTCGGCAACCTCTGGCATGCGGCTTGCCAGGATAAGCACCCTGGCGGGCCGGGCCAGTTTGTTTACCTGCCACGTCAGCAGATTCGGCCGATCGCAGCTCCCATTGGCCACGGTTCGCCATCCCAGGCCAATTGGGGAAGCAGGAAGCCGTGGCCAGCACATTCCTCACCCGCGCCACTTCCCGCAGCCCCCATTGGCCTGGGACGGCGAACCGCGGCCAGTGGGAGTTGCAATCGGCTGAACCTGCTGACGCAGCAGGTAAACAAACTGGCCCGGCCCGTAAGGGTGCTTACCCTGGCGAGCTGCGTGCCAGAGGTTGCCGACCCCTGGGTAAGACATTGTTATCACTAATGGCGTTCACATATAACGTTATAAATAAATATTAACATTTTGTAATATTTAATACCTAAAATTATAGTAGTTAATGTAGCCTGCTTAAGCCAAACTAGCAAGATGAGAAATTTCTAATAAAAATTGTATTTGTCCTTTACAAATGGAATATTTTATATTAAATGTCTAGGTATTAAAGTGCACTTTAAAAAGACATCAGATGTATAAATTCATATGATACCAGACCAAAAAGTTTTCAGTTACTTTTTAATAATTATTTTTTATGATATGTGCACAATTTTACAAATCAATTCAGAACCTATCAAAAGATAATGGAGGAAAATTATATTTTTATTTAAAATACGTTTGGCTCTTTTAAAAATAAAAAAATTGTATCTGCTAATAGCGCAGAGATGCACATATTTAAAAGGAGATTTTTTTAGATTTTAAAAAAATGTATTTGTTGCTTTTAAAATGGTATCTTATTGAATCTAAAGTGAATAAGGTATTCCTGTATTTTTTTTTAAGTCAAATGATTTGGTGATTAAAGAGAGTTGCCACTTGCCTGAGCTACATCCCTAGGGATATGACCTTTTTAATCCTCTTTAGTTAATGTATTGGTGATCTTTACTTAGGCAAAGTAAATAGTGCTGTTCTGAACAAAGAGAAGGTCATGCTTCCTGCATTACACTCTGACCCAGGGGTCATGGCCTTTGTTCACTTCTCAATAGGAATTGCTCTCAAAGGGCCACCACAAAATGGAGAACTAATTTAGGCACGTGCTGGCATAGAATGGCAGAGTATCATGTTTACTTCATATAAAACTCTTCAATATTTGTACTTATACCAAACAATAAAATACAAATTAACAAAATTGATTAACCCTTTCATTTACCAATATGTATGTAATTACTCCTTTTTCACTGTGATTAGCTTTGTCCTGGCAAAAATACATTGTTCAATTAATTCCAGTATAACATCTGCAAGTGCTTTATTTCTCTGATTTGAAAATCTTACATCAGTTCACATTTTAAGTGGCAGTAAAGAATTTGCAATTATTTTAACATTATTTTCTGAATTTGCTAATCTTAATTTTCTAATCAGAGATTATTAGATAAGAGAAAGTTACTAAATTTGTCTAAAAAGTGAATCCTAAAATATGGTAACTGAGATACTAAATCTGGACATTTGGGGCAGAGACCTTATCTCAAAATATGCACAGTTTTTCATCTTGCAAAGAAATGTGACAGCGTACTCCAGCAGATTTTATCACCTTATGCCCATGACATCCTCAACATGTACGGGATATACCATACAAAGGTACTGTCCTTACTTTGTCAAATCACCCACTGAACTCCCTAAATAGTGAAGGATCATGTAAAATGGAGTTGATGATGATGTAAAATGTAAAAGCCGGTGTATAAGTGGACTAGATTCTTCTCTCACTTGCATTGGTTTTACAGCAATATGACTCTGTTTGACTTCAAAAGGTTATTCTTGATTTACTCGCAGTTTGAAAGCAGAACCTGATGTATCATTTTAGCTGCTTAATGTGACCAGTGATCATTGTGAAATTTATTTCAGCTAATTTATAATATTTAATATAATGCTATAATATTTCCTTTAGAAAAAAATATTTCATACATTTGAAAGATGTATATTATGTTCTGTTACCCACATTCATCTGTTTCTTCTGTATGATATTCTCCATTCATCACTGAAATCTATGAAATAAAACAGTTAGATCCCCAAATAATTACTCGACCTGTGAACATATATATCTTGAATAAAAATATGGTCTTACAAATTTTTCCTTATTTCCAAAGCTAAGCTATTAATCTCTGATGACTTAACCAAGTTGCTTAAAACACAGCAGGGTTAAAATTGAGCACAAAGGAATAAAAAAAAACTTACAATGTTACATTCATAAAAATAAATAACAAACAGTATATAAAACTTTATGACATCTACCTACCTACCTACAAGAATAAATTCAAGTGCAGGCTCAGGGCTAAAATATGTTAAAATAATTATTTACCCTCAAACTTTGATAGATCTAGTCATACTGACTTTGATTCTCCACCCCGTTATGCCACTTTTTACACCAGCGTAACTCCCTTAAAAACAATGGAGTATGCTGGCTATAATTGGTGTAATGGAGCAGAGAATTGCGTCCATTATGTTGCTGTTGGCTGACAACACTAGTTGAGCCTGACAACACTAACTGCTGTAATGTTTGCTACTTGTGAGTATTTCTACTGACTACAATTGGACCACTCTGGTAATAAGCCCTACACCTTGTACTAGGTGCTTGTATGTCTGTGTCATTAGCATACTGTGGGCAAAGCTTGCTTGCATTTGTTCATGCCACTGTGTGTGTGTGTGTGTGTGTGTGTGTGTAGGGAGGGAGGGCCTGAGCCATACTGGATCGTGTGTGTGTAGGGAGGGAAGGCCTGGACCGTATTGGATCTCGTGCAATACTGCGGCAGGAGTAGGGAAGAGGATATGGAGAGCCTGTGCAGAAGTGAGAGACCCTCAATGTACTGTAGAGCACAATTATGCTGGGACTTCCAAAAAGCAATTGAACAGTGAGGTGCTTTGGGCAGGGGTTGACAGAGAGGTTGGAGCAGTGGATTTTCAACATAGATTTGACAATTGTGCAGGATTCTTCTCCTCGAGGCGGGGGAGTGTACCAGTTACAGGGGCCAGTTTCTTTCAGATGCTGCAGACCTCACCAGCACACTCCATGTGAATGGGCTGTATGCTATAGTAAGGATTTGCCTTTTGAACAAAGGAAAATATAGCCCGGAAAATGTAATGCTTCTACAAGATTGCAAATAATCTATCATTTATTACAGACTGCTCTTTTTAGTTCTCGCCTTTTAAAATTTTCTTTTCTTGAATTCTATCAATCTCAAATAAAAAACTAAGTTTCTTGTTTTTCAAAGTAAAGAACATATTTCGGGAATTGTATGTATTCAAATAGAGACTGTCAATTACTTTTATGTCCAAAATTTGGATTGAGTAATAAAACAAAAGAAAATAAGATGATTTAAACAAAACCCATTGTACATAGAATGCTTATGATTTTTTATTTGATTTTAATGAAAACAGCTCAGCTATGGAATCAAGCAAGCACAGCCTGGTGCTAGTACATGAGAACCGGCAAGTAAAACTGACTACATACAACACTGAAATGGGCGAATATCTTTTCTTTGTCCAAGTGAAGAGAAGTGAAAAATAAAATAGTTTTAAATCATGAAATATAAATTAGATTTTAAAAATCTTTCAGTTTAATAACTGAGGCTTTCATATAAATCAGAATTTTAAAAAATGTGGGTTATGTCCATTTTAAATGTTGCCTAATAGAAGGAACACTGTCAGATCAGAAATCATATATATTTAAATTCCTTCCCTGTGTTAACAAGTTATATTTAAAATAATGAATATTGAAAATACAAAGAGTTACCTTTGCATATAGGCAGCAATATTGTTTGCCTTTTTGCTGTGTATTTAGCGTAGAGTGAAAATAGATGAGTGAGTTTCACTGTGCCTTATTGTTCATTTAGTGATTTTTCACCTTTCGGTTCTAATGCACTAGGATAGTGATGCAATGTTTGGGTTGCAGACAATAGGGCAATGGTTCTCAACCAGCAGCCCAATTAGCACACAGCTGCAGCCCATGTGACATCCTCAGCGTCATACAGGTAGTATTGGATGTGGCTCACAATGATAAATAGCTTGAGAACCACTGCTATAGGGAAATGTTTATTCTGAACAAAAAGACTTCTAGAACTGGAATTTTTAGAAAAATGAAGGAAACATTTCTGCCAATCTTAGGTTTTCTAAATGCTCCTTTCTTTTTAAAAACAAAATTGGGACCCTCAGTTGATCTGACAATGTCACTTTAAGATTAGGGACTGACTTTCTGTTAGTAAACAAGTATTTCTTTTCTTAAGAGCTGTCTTGCAATTAACTTTAATTTTCCCAATAAATACTCTATCCAGTATAACATATTTAGTAGTAAGGGGTTTTTAGTACATACTGAAAAATGCCACCTCTTAAATCATCGAACTGAGTGGGGACATTTTGAAGGTTTTCTTACTGAGATGCCTTCTGAACTTTTAACATGCTGTCCTAGTAGTTGATTCAAATGTGGTTTTCACTCTTTTAAAAAGAACATTATCTCTGGCAGGGTGCACGAAAGTGACAAACACTCCATTACATGTGTTAAGTTGATTCTGTAGTATTGGCATCCCTGGTAATGATTTAAACATCTCATATACATTGTAGATCTCAATAGCAAGGCTGGGATTCCTTCAAGATATCTGACGTTTAATTGCCATTACAGTGATAGATGTTATACAAATTACAAAAATAAATATACATAGCACTTTAACAACATTATAGTGTCAGAATGATTTCCGAATGTGATCTAGACAGTTAAACTTATGCAAGAGCCAGTCTCATTAAGCGACCTCATCAGATGAGACTCCCTTCTCAAAACAATCCCCAAATGTATTAAGTTCACTCTTGTTTTACCTTTATTTTGAGGGCCAGCAGTATTATGCAACTGACTTTTGTTGGTCCCTTGAGTAGTTACTCTCACTGTAGTTGACGTGGAGAAAAAGGAGGAAAAAAAATGCTGTTAGAAGAGGGGTTTGGCGAGGTTTTGGGTTTAATACGAAAACTGTCGAGTCTATTCATTTTTTTTTGTTAGGGAGGTGAGGGATTTCCTTAACGCTAAATTGCCTGGTAAACATTTAGGCCTGTTATAATTGGGCACAATTCAGTTGAAATTAATGGAAATGTGTCAACTTTCCCCGGGGTGGAATTTGTTCCTTTGGCCTTTTTACCTTTGAATTATTTGAATTAAAATGCTACATGTGTACATGTAGCTGCATGTTATATGTTTACATGTTTATATTTATTTTTCTATGAATAACAGAAGTATATAGAAAATAGCACAGTTCAAATGTGCTATTTATGTTTCTGCCATTACATCTCTGAAAATAAAATAGTATTCTGTACAAGTGCTGTCATTTCTGTTTTTTTCTGCAGTAGGAGAATTACATCCTTGTATTTTCCACAGCAGAGATTCACCCTAAACAGATCTGCTTTGTAGAGAAAAATAGTATACACTATTCAAATGGCATTCTCTGACAGGATAACAAAAAAGACAATGTTTCTACCAGGGCCTGTATATTCAAAGGCTAATGTAGCATACAGTGATTAAAACACAGAATAATCTTTTTTGAGAGTTTAAATTTTTTTGGACTGACCTAAATTCTCGGCCATTTATTGGCTATGCTCAGAATGAGTACAGAGAGGATCAAACTGGCATGGGTTTGGTTAATTTTCCTATAAAAATCTTTCCATGTGTAAATAACACACATGCGCGCACATCTTTCTGTGTGTCAGTGTCTGTATAAGTACAAAACACACAATAAAATTTATCTTCTGAGGATCCACATGTTTAATTTCAATCTTGATATTCTGGTCTCCTGACACATGTAGAAAACTCATCAGTGTTGCCAGTGGAAGTTCTGTGCACAAAAGGAGAACAGAACATTGTCGTTGAGCTTTGTTGTGTGGACCTGAGAATAAAATTTTGTTCTGGATGTGTAGGTGTGCACTGTGCAGTACCCCATTAGACAAAAATGTTTGATTTTATGCCAATTGCCTTAATTGTTTCAGTGCTCCTGAATGTATGAGATCTCAAGTGCCATTAATTTAGATAATAGCTAAGTTTACATATACTGTGGATCTAGTAATGAATGGGTTAAATTAGTGTCAAGGGTTAAAAGATTACTGATGTGCTATAATCTGTTACTTTGTGATGACATTAGTTATTAGCTTTTGGGAGCAGTACATGCACAAATTCAGGTGCCATGTGTAAAAAGTATTACACTCTTTATTTGAAATTGTCTAAGCTTAATATAGGTCAAAAACATTCCTGAAAGTTTCATGATAATATTCAGATTTTTTTTAATTAAGTTTTTAGTATAGTAAGGAAAAAAGTGAGATGGAATTAGGACTAAGAAAGGGCACATTTGTATTTGTATTTTGACAAAAAAATTGTAAATGATATTAGTAATTTTTGTCGTATTAGCAAAATACTGTTATTTATATTAAATAGGACTGTATACCCAGGACATGATACTGCAGGCCTTACACTATGAAATGCCTCAAAAATTTGTAGACATATATAATTCTGTGTTACTGTAGATATTCCATTGGTTAAATGCTGCATGTGTGTAAATATATGTATACACACACATGCAGGATATATAGTGGATGTGTGTAAATACACACACACATTTTAGAAATAAAATATCAGCATGGTGTTTTGTTAAAGCAGTTTACCATAAACTTCTTTCTGTTCCTATCACAGAATTGATATTGATGTTAAAGGACAATTATGATACTAGTATTAGCATAAAAAGCTCTCTAAAAAGATGTGTTTATAAATAAGTCAGAGAGAAGTCTGTTTTTCTACCAAAAGTATTCACTGCCTTGTTGCCAAGAGACAAAAGGTGTTTGTGTAATTATGCAAGATTACTTTATGATGTTACTCATTTTCACTAGCTAACTTACAGTACAGTTGTCTTGAAACTTGTTTGGTGGACCAATAAAATGATGGGATACCATTGCTATAGCTAAAATAAATGTGTTAAAATAAAAATGTTGAAAGCTGCAATTTTGAATTTATCTCTCATTCATTTAAAATCTATCTTATTGCAATTTAAGAGATGGATTTATGCCTAGCAGAAAATGGTTAATTTTTAAAATTGAGATTTTGCATGGTATTTGTCACTAATGTCCACTGAGGGCTTTCAGTATGCTGAAAAGGAATTATTTTGAAATAACTGTTGACTGAATAAATCTGGTAACAGGTTTTCATGGCATTTTTTTTATTGATGATGCCAATTAATACATTTTATCAATTTATGTAGCATAGCAAAAGTTTGTGGCAAATCTTCCTTACACCAAGTGTTCTGTTAACTTTGTTTGGATTTTATGCTGCAGTTACCTTTATTAAAAGATCAAATACATTTAAAATTACATGCATGCTGATTAATTTTCAATAAAACTAAAATAAGAATTAATAGGAAACAATCTTTTTTGCAATTCAGTTAAGGTTTGCTGCAATATCACAGAAGAATGGAAATTCTGTTTTCTGTTGGTATTGTAGCACATTTGAAAAAAAACATATTTATATGCAACATTGATTTGTGTAATTGACACTTCTTTCTATAGGACCAGACATGTTGCAGTTCCAAAATATAATAGGCTGAGTTGAAGCCTTTTGGCTAAATCTTTTTCCAATTCTTAATGCTCTTTATATGTTTTCTACCATATCTGTAAATATGAAAAAAGTGTGTACATTTGTTAGAAATTGTATATTTTTTCTGTGTGAGTACACCTTTATATATTAAAAAAATCTGATCATATATGTGTATTTTATCATATTTATTGAACCTCATCACATTCAGTATGAAGTCGATATATACAGTATGAAGTCCATTCATATATTCATTACTAAGTGTAAGGGTTATGATGATGGCTGAAATTGCTAACATTTGATAACATTGGTACATATAATATGACTAAGGAGAAAAATAAATTCCCCCTCTGATAATATAATAGAAGACAGATTATAAAAATGATTGAATGACTATGGTGATCTTTGATCAACACCTAGCTTTCATAATTGCTGTCTGTGTTGAAAACTAAGCATAGCCTTTTAAAATTTGAAAAGATTCTTGGTTATTTAAAGTATTTTCAATTAGGTAAAAATAATATGTATAAAGGGATTATTTTTTCTCTTGGGATGGGGTTTTACTGCTTTGACAATATTGTGTCAACATAGTACTTGTTAGGAAATTCTCTTTTGTGAAAAAGGATTTAATTCCCCACTGCTAAATATTTTGTTCTTTATAATTTCAGATTTGAGTTTCAACCTTTTATACACCAAAGCTAGCTAGATAAAGTTAAAATGTATCTTGTGTATCATTTACTATAGTATAAATTGGCTAAAGAGAAATATATGTTTAACTGAGCTTGGAAAACTAAAGTTAAACATATAATATATAAACAATATTAATAATCAATTTGCAACTGGATAACATGTTAAATCATGTTTGCAGAATCTTGAATAAATATACATATCGGTAAATAAATGAAGAACTGTAATTATTTAATGTATGTTTTATTGTAATGCACATCCACATGTTACTGAAGTTTTCTTGTTTAAAGACATTTATAGTAATTGGTACAGTATCTTATCTTCTCATTTACCATTATAATTACCTTTGTTGAAAATTTTACTCCTCTCCTTATAATTTAAAGATGCGAAATCTAGAATATTGCAACCTTATTCTCAGAGAATTTACTATCTTGTTTGAAAATGTATGGTAGTTTACAGTATAAAATTATTTTAATCCTGTTTTTGTGGATTTCATTACAAATTAAAGCACATATATTTGCTAACCTATTGCAGCTTGTCATGTATTGTTTAACAGTGAGCTGTTTCTTCTTCAGAATTTGTTTCTGTAGGCTAGCTAAAACACCATAACATTTTAAGTAGAACTCCTATTTAAATCAGTGGAGAGTTCTGTTTAAAAACCACTTACTGTGGCCCTATGTTCACCAGTGATATCAGGGTAGAAATATTGCCATAGGCATTAGAATAGAACAGAAGATATACATCATAAAAACTAGGTAATGTCAGTCACCAGTGAAGGAGTAAAAGTATTATTGTACAGTATAATAGAGATCTTTTAACATTTCTACAATATTAAACTTGGTGCATAAAATACGACATTCAGTAGCTGTCAAGATAGGTGGCCTTCGCATCATTTATTTCATCTCCTTTAATTGTGTGTTGATTGCAGTGGGGCTACTCACTGAGTAAGGTAGGGTGGCAGAATTTGGCCCCTTGATGTTTATTTAAAAAATGTAACTTGTCTGCTCTATTTCTTATATTTAAAAATCATAATAAAAAACATCTTTGTAAAACAAACAATGCCCCCTCAACAATCAAAGGAGAAAAAGTAAATACTACAAGAGTCCGCTGCAAAATACATTTTAACAACTAGTAATAATATATTTTATTCATGAAGTATAGAGTCCTGGAACTTGTAATGGATCTCTATTGTTCTGTATAATAATACATAGATGCCTTCACTGTTAATAGAAGTTGCTAATTCGTATACTGTAAATCCTAATATCTATGATAATTTTTATTGTTTACCTAATTTGGGAATATAAACTATTGCAACTAAAATCTCAAAAATAAGGAAACAGATTTTTTTCTGTAGATTGACTTTTAATATTTTTAAAATATTTATTGCTTTCAGTGGGACACCTGGCACTACTCAAACCGGGGTGAGCATGGTAGACAGGACCTTCAGAAAACTTCAGAGCAGACATGTATGTTTTATATACATTATATAGAAACTAACTTATATTGTATTATGCTATATTGCTTTCTATTAAAAGATATATTAAAGGAAATGACTTAGACTATCACACAATGGCCATAATCTATACTGTAAAACTATATAGTCCAGTCCCTGCATTAAAAATAAATTATAGTTCATCAGACCATGAATTAATATATCCTAGTGTAAATGTGAAAAGCCATATTGAATTTCAAAAATGTGCTGTGCAGTTACTGATTTAAATTTTAGTAAAATAAAATGTGTCATGCTGTAAGTGTTCAGATAGTCCCTTGTCCTCTAAAAATAAAAAATACACTACTTTATATAGTTGCTTAGTTTCAAGATTAGCCCTCCATCACAGATATACACTGCTATGAAATTAGCAGATGAAAACTTTGCAGCATATTTATGACAACTAAACAGAAGCCAGTAAGCAACATTTAATCTTGTATTTTGATTCTATGCTTGTGGTGTGATCATTCATCAATACGGTACATAGTACAAAATGTTGATACTGTCAGTTTTAAGCACACGGCTATGTACATTTAAAAATAGTTACAAAAGAACCAAAAATGTGTTGCTTAACACACTTTTTAAACTGCTAATGCAATGCACTGTTTAATGCTTTCTTCCTGAAAAAAAATTGTCCTCCTGCCAGAGTTTCATTTGTGTTGATACCATTTTAATGCCAAGTTTTCTATAAAACATTCCTGTTAAAATACAGTATAATGAAGGAAATGTTTTTGCAAAATGCTTTATTATGTTTTGAAGGAAAATATCTTTGAAATGCATTCTTATTCAAGCCACCTTTACACATTCAGAAACACTTATTTCAAAATTGTCTTTACTTGGCGTATAGGTATTTAGGGGTCTTTTCTCCCCATGACTAAACTGCCACTGTTACATTGACATTAAAGGGTGTTATACAAGACTAGTCAGAATCTTATTAAAACAGGACTGTACAATATGTAAATACTGAACAGATTGTAAAATATACAGTAATTTTGATTTTGTATGTCACCTTGAGTCTTAAGCGGACAATGGGTAAGACTGCTTTGCTTTTTTAAGATTTGTTTTTAACTTTTGGTAAGTATCTTTAAAAAGAAAAACCTTCTGTTATATAGGAAGCATTCTCAGTGTTGTCAGTTATGACAAAAATGAATATTTTTGGACATTATTAAAAATGTGTTTTTAAGACATGCAATTAAATTTTTCTGCAGAGACTTACTGTAGAAAAATAATTTGCTCGATTGGGTTAGCTTTCTCCAATTTATATGCATTTTCATTTTTTATTATATATATATATATATGAGGTAATTAAGTGCTACCCATTATTAAATATTCAGTTATTGTATACAAGAAAACAAAAAAAATGCACTGTTTCTTTAAATCTAAATTTAGTTTTGGTACCTCTACTACACTGAACCAAGGTTAAATCTTTGTTTTAGGTAAGCTGAGAGCCTACTGTGAATTAAAAATATAAGCATACAAACAGAAGGGATAAAAAGAGGAGGTTTGATATTGTGTTTCCTACAGACTGGTCTTGTGATAAATGGGAAGAAAAGGTTATGAAAATATATAATAATGTTAATATCAAAATATCACCTTTGTGTTAACTATTTATATTTTTGAACTCATGCATAGATAATGGACTTTAAAATAATGTTTCCACTTCCTTTTTTTGAATCCTTGCTCCAATAAGAACAGAGTACAGAATTAAATTTTGTTTGTTTGTCCTTATCTCTTCTAAACCTTATTTTTTCTGTTCAGTGATCTAAAATTTGGTTACTTTCACTCTTATTTTAGGGTTATGGTAACAGATGTAAGGGCTCAGATAATTAAAACGATTGTTAAACTATGCATTTGCAGCCATAATTGCATAATGGAGATTCATTTTAGTCCCCCTCTCCTCCATCCCCCAAAAGTTCTCCCAGTTGAGATACAGAAAAAAGATGAGCTTAATTGTCTTCGGTTTCTTACTTTATCAAAAACTGGAAGATGGAGAAGAGGGAGATCTTTATTCTGACATAAAATGGACAGGAATTAATCAACAGATGTTGAGAAACAAAAACTAACATGCATTTAGAGAATTAACATAATTGAAAGCAAAGATCTTTGGATAATTTAGTCCAACCATTCCAAAAAATCTGAAATAATATTTGTATTTGTGTGAACGGTACAAAAATTGTTGGATACACAGTGGAATATAATCTGCATTCTTTTGTAAAGGGTTTATAACTTTTGCCTGCGTGTGCTGACAAATGCATGCCACAGTAAATGTCATGTTCAACGTTAGCAATAAGAAATTGGATAAAAATAGTTCTAATGTCCAATAGGTTTAGAGTCCACAGTTTATTTTTCTTTCAGTTTTTAACTGTCAGGAAGTTGTCTGAATTGATGGTACATGTGTCTGCACGTATGCACTCTGTATGCAATGGACATATCATTTATAAGCTACTACAGGCTTGGCTCATGATTCTTAAACATGATCTTACTTCAGCAAAAAGAGGGATAGAAGAGAGTATTTGGATATTTTGTCATCCTGTGTTGTGATAGTCACATAAACATTTTGCATTGTGATGCCCCAAAAACAAATATTAAAAACATTTTGTGGTTTCATATTGTTAAAAAAATTGGTAAGGGTAGACCATAAAGCATATATTTGGCTTCATGAAGAAATATTTATCCTGATGAGAATATTAGTGGTTGACTGAGCACTTTCTCAAGATTTTGAGGTTGTATGAGAAAGTTGGATATGAGCGAGTCTTTAAATATTTCAGTAGTCATTCAGGATGCAGCACAGCACAGCTCAGCTCAGCTATGGCTCATTGTGTAGAAAACCACATGTACTGCCCTAGACTTTCTAGAGCTGGCTGATGCATTGCTTTAATAGATCAAATGCGATAAAAGTTATGTTTGAAAAAGGGAAGATGGTTTTCAGTATACTGCATTATATGTAGCAGGAAAATATGTACTGTCAAGTACAGTAGGGGCTGTGGTTTTAATTAGTGTAATATGGGTTCTTAGCAGTATGGCTTTTGCTAGTGAGCAATCAGGCAGAGTACATCCTAGGAGTTTGAATGGTAGTATCCGAAGCTATGGTGTCTTTAAACAGTGTTAAGTATAAAATATCTTGAACTATTTTAAAAGTGACAGTAAGTCAGACCATTGAAATACTGTATGTTTGAGTCATTGAGTTTATAAAAAATGAAAATGGGACTGCCGTTTGGAAAAGCTATGACTTTAAATACCTTTAGTCCATTTTGCAGGATAGTGAGTTTTTCAGAGAAGGCTGGAGAGAAGTCTCTGGGGAGGGAAACCGATTGTTGCAAGGGAATAAAATGTTACATCTCAGCTTTCTTTTTTTCATCATATTTCTTTTCCTGACACTATTTCCTAATCCACATTTTAAGGAACAAAACTTCATTAAATATTTTTATCAGGAGTATTTCATAAGACCATTGAAATATATTGTATAGACTTCTAATTACATGAAACCTCATAGCTGGTTTAAAGTCCAGCCATGATAGAGATGATGGCATAAGCAGAATAAATATTAAATCAGAGTGACAACTATGGCTTTCCTTAACTAATCACCTAACCCCTTTTTTCTTATGGTAAAATTCTTTCAGGAGGAGGACACCCTCAGGTTGAATAGTGTAAGATCTCTTTTTTCCCCCATGGTAGGGCAAATCGAACAATTTGACAGCATTTTTGGAAGGAAAGCATATAAAACATTTTTTGAACATACTAATAACAGAATATATAGATATAGATACACACACACACACACACACACACACACACACACATATATTATTACAACAGGGAGAATTCATTGGTTGACTGAAATGGCGAGATGTGACGCAAAAGGACACTTGGACGGGTAAAAATGCTGATGGATGCCAAAGCAGGCGTACCAGGAAATGCTGTTGCTATGAGAGAAACAGAGAGAGAGAGAGAGAGAGTGAGAGAGCAAGTTGTGGAGGCCTTATTTTTTACCTTTTGGTTGCACCAGAGAACTGCAAACATCTAGTTTTTAGCAGGGAGAGGGAGGTTTTGGATGGGTATTTTCATTAGGATAAATTGAGGGGTGGGGAGAGTGAAGAGGAGAGGTACAGATTAGTTTAGAGTGTAAAAGCAGATGAAAAGTAGAGGCGGGGGGGCTACATATACTAAGCCAGCGATCTGAGTTATGATAGATATACAAATTAAATACAGTAGATGAAGCAGCTTAGCATGTTATCAGTGCTGATGTTAAGACTTACAATTTAAAATAATAATTTAAAAAATATATATAATAACCCCACCTTTTAAATTTATGAATTATCCAGCTGGTATACGGACGTCTCTTTTGTAACATTGTTAAGGGGACTGCAATAAATTCATCTTATGAATCCATTTGCAAAAAAGAGGGCAAAATAATTAGCAAGGATTTTTTTGTCTTGCTTCTTCGGCAAGGAGAAAAAAAGTTTGTGCTATGAACTTAGCCTAGCAGCTTCTGGAACTTGAGCCAAAAGGGGCAGGAAGTTGTTTTACAATAGAGTTACAGTGATCTGCCACAAATGGAAAAAGCCAAATGTTGGGTTCTGGGAAGAGGAAAAAATATTCTCCCTCTTCTCCCCTCCCCCCCTTCTTTTGCCCCCTCAATAAAAAGGAAAGTTCAACTGAAAGTTGTTTTTAATTGCTTTTCTAAGTAATGGAAAGATTATCTCACTTGCATATTCCACAGCAAGCATGAGGGAAAGAAGTATCAAAGGGACGTTTAAAAAAATGCACTTGGTAACTAGCAACGGGACTTTTGGCATGATTCCTCGAGTTTGCTTGAGGTTTTGAAGGGGGGGATGGGAAGAAGAAAAGCAATTCTACGTAGTACATTTTCTTAAAAGAGAGCGAGAGAGAGAAAGAGAGAGGAAAAACCTTATAATACTTATATATTTTTAAAGGAAAATGTGTGTTGATCCTCTAAAGCTGAATCCTCAGGCATTTGTAGCTCCTCTTTGCCGTCCGACGTGTTTTGTGTGTGTGTGTGTGTGTGTGTGTGTAAGCGCTCTCAATCAAACAGCAATCATGGCAGCTGTTTTTCTTCCAGCACAGCAGTTGAGCTGTCTCGCCCAAATGCTTATCAGCTTTTGACTCTGTGCCAAGATAGTTATAAGGGCCAAGCAGCCTCAGCTTGGCTGTGCAGCTGGTTTAGAAGTAAGGGCATGAGAAAACAAAATCACTAAGTTTTTGTCACATACCGTATTTACTTTTTCTAAATCCCCATTTACTACACTGATTTTTCTGTGCTGCATTTTGATGGTGTTTATGGATGGCTTAATATTGTAACTATATTTTGTTTTATTATTTTGGAAAGAGAACCTCATATTATTTATCCCTGCAGATATTTTCTCATGAAAAAAAAAGCTGTAATTAAAAGATTAATTTGACGAACTGCCTTTTTAAACTTATTGTCACATTGTACATGCATTAAAATTCCTTTGCTGTGTCTCTCCCTTCTCCCCTCCTTCCTTCCCCCACCCCCGTCTTAAACACAAGACTGCATTGTGTTAAAGAAAAATAGCTTTGCTGGATTTGGAGGCAAATGTAGGAGAGCTGAAGCAAGTGTTACTGTATGGAGGGGTGCTTAATTTCATTGTTGTATGCCTGCTTGCACTGTGTGTGTATGTGCGTGCGCGCACTCGTGTGTGTGTGTGTGTGTGTGTGTCTGCGTATGATGAAAACTAGCCTGCTCACGCAGGGCCGTGCCTCTGTTTCATCATCAGCTCTAGTCTTCTCTGTTTCGCTAGCTCATATACTCCTCCTCTTTCTTAGCCAGATTGCTCTAGTCGCTCACAAGGGGGAGATTGGACTATGAAAAAAGGTTTCTGCTGCAGCTTGCATTCCTGCTGCAAGGGCCTCCTCTTCAGACAGCCTTTGCCAGAGCAGAACTTTTCAAAATGCTACAAATAGGATCTTCTTTTTTCTCCTTTATTTAACCCTTCTCCTTTTAAAAAAAAATGGGACTAATTTTTCTTGTTTTCGGTGCTGTGCTTGGCTGTACAGTATATCGCAATGTTGAGGTTAAAGCTACAAGTATTTCTGCCACCACCCCCGCTGATCCATTTTTTTTCCGTCTTGGTTAAAGAAATTGATTTATTTGACTGAGCAATGAATCAGGATTTGCTAGTTTGTATGCTGTGAGAATGATGGCTTTTATTTGAAATTTTTTTCTCAGTGCCAATGCCTTGTGCTGCTCATGGAACCAGCTTCTTTCTTTCTGTATGTTTTTTAATTGCTTCAGGTATCTGTGCCACATGAACAAGGATGGATGATAGCCCTCCAACCCCCTTGTAATCTGACCGTGGCTGAAATGGAAATACTGCGGGGCTTTTTTGTCCTTGCAGGGTCCCTCCCCTCCCTTTCTTTCACTGTTTAGGAGGGAAAAGGGGTGTGCAGTAAAATGCTGTCTCTGGGACAGGTGCCAGCTCCAAGACAAAAGGAATAAAATAGGCGGTAAACGGGGAAAATTAAGTGTCAACAAAAATAGGAATTGGAAATGTGTAAGCGGCAACATTGGTAGAAGTGTTGTCGGCTATCCAGCCTTTCTGTTGAATTTTATCTGCAGATATTAGGCTAAAAGGAGAAAGTTTAGGCATACTTTTTTATTCATCCTCTCTATAGGCATTTGAAAAGATAAGGCGGTTCTTTTTTTTTTTTTTTTTGGACTACTGAATTATTCATAGTGTCAGTGGTGAAGCCAGGACCATTAGCATGCATCAGACATGCTGTTTGTCTGTTTGCTAACATTCTTCATTCAAGACTTGTTAACTACCAGACAAGCTTAACACGCTTCTCTTTTCCCCCTCCCCTTCTCTCTCTCTCTCTCTCTCTGTCTCTTTCTCTCTCTCTTCTTTTCATGCTACCCCTTTAGTCTCCTATTGTTGTTGCTGGGAGCTGGCAGCCAGGGGTAGTTGTGGCAGGGAAAGCATGTGGACGAAAAGCTGGAACCCGTTGCTAGGTAAGGACCGCCTTCCCTTCTTCCAGGCCTGCATGCACTTGCACAATCAAGAAATACCATGGAGCTCACTCAGTGTCTTCCATCTGCTTTTACAGGAGACTGCAGAACTGCAAGGTGAACACATTGGCATCCTCTCTCCATATCTGGTCCCTGAGGCTTGTTTCCCACCATTCACAGGGTAAGATTCTTTCTCATCATTTAGATGCATCTGATTGATATGCGGTAACATTTCACGTTTATTTGCCTCCACAGTGGAGTGAACAACTGGTGTAATTACCAAGTAGGAAAATTAAGTTTCAGAAACTCTTAGTGGATATAAGGAGATTGCCTTTTGACTATGTATTCATTTATTTTTAACCTGCAATACATATTGGACCATCAAGGTTCAGATTAATTTAAAATGATCACTTGCAGGTTATTAAGTATGCAGTACAGTTATTAATTTTGGGGGGTTCATTCTCCCTCCCTCTCAAGTCTACTCCTCCCTTCACCAGTCTGTTTAAAACCAGACAAAGGTTGATCACAGCATTTATTTCTGAATGCAAATGTTCTAGGACTTGTGCCAGTCTTGCCTTCATTGATTGCACTGTAGCTTCTTTGTTGAATGGCACTTTTTTATTTTCCCCTCTTAGGTCTTTTTTTTTAAACAGAAGGAAGCTCAAACCTGAAAAGAAACAAAACAAAGTTGTGTGGTGCAAATTCAGATTTTTATTTTAATTACTAATAAGTTGCTAGACAATTATGTTCGGACCAATTATAAAAACAGTTAATCTTGAGTTATATTAGCCTTTGTCATGTGTGTGTGTGTGTGTGTGTTTGCGCGTGTGCATACGTGCATTTATTAACTGATAGTTTTGAATGTTACTCAGTGATGACCATAGGTAATTGCATCCCACTACGATTACATTTTCCTGATTGTCTTAGCAATGTGCATTTTGGCATACGTATTTTCTGCTTTCATATGTATTGTTTCTGAATGCTCAGAATTGTCCTAGTTTAGGGGACACAAAATATTAATGAAGGAATTTATGTAAGTATAATACTTTTATAATGTAATGCCATTTATAGATCAAAACAGCATGTGGATGTAGATGTTCTTGTCATAACCCTGAAACACTTAGTCAATTTGGCAAACTCTGCACACTTAAGATATATCAGTACTATGAAAAGGCGGATATCATATTTAGTTTGTATTATTCATGCAGCCAAGTAAAATGTACATGTGCAAATACACGAGAATATATCATTGTTCTGATGGAAAGAAATGTACTTCAAAGACATTTTATGCAAAACCTATTCCTTCTGTATAGGCTTGTAACAGAAAATGCTTTCCTTTACATTGCAAAATATGACGGCTTAGTAAAATATTTTAATGTTGCTCATTTTTATTTTATTTGTGTCAGTGCATTTAAGTAAAAAAAAAAACCACACAACTAAACCTGAACGGATTTATTTTTTAAACAAAAATAATGAGAATGTAGCAACTAACTCGTGCAAAGCTAATTTTAAATTCAGGCCACTGCCAATATTGGATTGAAACAATCCACGTAATAGCATTGCATTTGGACTCTTTTATGGCAACAAAAAACAACTAATAACTTTTAGTAGTAAAGCTGATTAAACTCAAACCAGTCAGAGTATGTATTGGTGAATTGTATAGATCAAGAAAGGAGTTCAGCAATGTATGACTCAATGGTAGAAAAGCTAAACTTAAATTCTTCAAAGTATTATTTTAGAGGCCTGTGTAAGTTCCATAGAACAATGCAAATAGAATAATAGTTGGGGAGTTTTAAGCTATACTATTTGTAGTAGTTATAAAATCAGAAAATGGTAGTTAAAATAAAATTCACACCAAGGGAAATTCAAACTGCTTCATGATACATGACCTTAATAGTTCTATATCTGTAGAAGTTTTTTTTTCTCGCTAGCTTGTAATACTGTTGTTGTTCTATTGTTGATAAGTATTTTTACAAGAAACATAAAATTATTTACAGTAAATTAGCTCGCATTGTTATGTTCTAGATGATTCGCTATAAATTATAGATATGAAAAAGGTAATAAAAACAGAATTATTGGTTTATTTCATAATGAAAAGTTTCTTGAGCATGCTATGAATTGATTTAGTAAGGCATAAAATCATGTATTTTGTACATTAATCCAATGAAGGGGAGATGAAAATGTATTCATTAAGCGGCTGATCTCATCCAAGTTTTTAAGTTTCAAATTATTTTTGACTAATATTTAAAATAAAAACTATTCAGTAAGACCCTCAGATTAGTGCTATATTAGGAATTATGCTCAGGAGCTAAAATATTTAACTTGTTAAAACGTTTTATACTGGACTGCGAAGTATTGAGCTGCAGCTTGTGGTATATAGATGTAAAATGCAAGGACAATACCCTCTCCATAATTAAAAATATATCTTTCTTTATATCAATCAAGTTGTGCGTTTTTATGTAATAGTTTCAGTTCAATATTTTTTAAAAATAATTTAGGGTATGCTGTTGTCTATAACAGGTTACTAATTTTTTTTTTTAAATCCTCCTAAAAGTGGTTTGGTTCTTGTTGATAGTGTTGCATGTAAATAAGATACATACAAAAATCCCAATATTCCTTTTTCAAATTCCACATATCCCATTACAAAATATTTGTTCTACCAAATACTATTGATATATGGGGAGAAGGAGATGCAACAGCAAAAGGTAAATATGTCGTAGGATTGTAAGTAATGTGAAGTGCTGAACAGAGAGCAGATACTATGTAAAAGATTACGAGTAGATTGCAATACAACAAAATGAACAAAGTACACAATACTTTACACAAATGGATGGATTATGATAGGGTAATTACTTTCAAAGGTCATAAATTGTACTTAAATCACTGAGAGCCAAACCCTGGTGTCCTTACTCAGGCAAATTTGAAATTTTTGGAATTTTGCCTGGGTGAGTCCTGAAGGATTTGGGCCAGTATGAATTAAGGAGGGTGTTTTGATTTTGTTTTGGTTTGAGGCATCTCTCTGAATGATACTTGTAGTTCCTTGTTCTTGCCCATATTACATATATGATACGATATAAACCCTAGGTTATTTCATACGGATATAGACAGAGACAGCGCCCTGGCCTCTTTTGACACATGCCAAATATTATTAAACATTCTTTAGAGATTAAAAATAAAATTAAAAAGAAGTGAAAGGAATATTTTCTTCCATCTAGATTTCTTTTGAAGAGATTTGCATGTAAAACATAGAATCATTGAATCAGTGGTATGTTTTCAGTGACTTCCTCACAAATAGAATGACTTCACTGTAATCTGCCTTCATTCCATGTGACACTGGCTCTTGTGACATAATCAAGCTGTGGTGTCTCCAAGGCTGAACCACAAGGTTTAAAGTCCCTCCTGCACATGGTTGCTTAAGGTGTGGGCAGGTCTATGATTGTGACACCTTCTCTTCAAAAATCTGAAATGTGTTCTAATGAGGCATTTTGCTTCTTAACTGCATCACTTGCTCTCAGCTCGAAACAGGTGTAGATAATCATCACTCTTTGCTAAACTGGCTGTTCTGGTGGATCTGTAACAATGCAACACCATGTCACAATTTTAATTTTGATTTTTATAGTTTATGTCTGGCAAAAACTACATTTTAATTAGAAACACCGATACGTTTCATTCTTCAAACGGTACATGCTGTACAACTGAAGACGAAGAAACGTGTTCCGTGTGTGTTGATACACTATATATGGTATTTGATTTGTGCAAAGATATTCATTCAGTTATTCTTCATGCATACAGCTAGATAAACTATTGATTGCAGGAAGAGCACTTAGACAATGGAGTAGTACTTATACCCAGAACCACTCTGGTAGGCACCGTTGACATGCATAGGTAAGTAGGTGCTGGCAAATAGGTATATATAAAAGAGCAGGGCTAGATTTTTAAGTGCATGTGCAAACTTTTGCAAGCTTACATTAGCACAAATTCTAATGCATGTGTAAACCCCTGTTTGCTTATGCCTGTAATTATGGGCCTGATCTAAAATCTACTGACATCCATTGACTTTAATGGGATTTAGATCAAGCCCTTGTGCACAAACATCAAGATTTAGTGTATTGGCATTTTCATGCCTGCAAGTCAGTGGGCACAATAAATCTGTTTATATGCTTGGTGGGGCCCATTTGTAAATCTTACCTATATATTAGTGTTTGTGAACAAATCCGTGTATGATTTTCTAAAGAAAGAAATCCTTTATACACCACGGCTACTCCTGCCTCCATGTAAGTCAGTAGCAAAATTCCCAGTGACTTCAAGTAGGATCAGGATTGTGGTAAAGTACATCATTTAATTAGTAAGATAGAACAAAACTCTGATTTTGGCTCCCTCTCCTGATGGCCTTACTCATGAGACTACACATGTGAATGAAAGCTGCAGAATTGGGCCCTTTCATAGTTCAATCTCTTTTAAAGTATGTGGTTAAATCTAAACCCTCATTATTTTGTGTAGTCTTTATAAAGAACCATTATTTTCTGAAGCTCAGTGCTACTAAGTATTTAATACTTACACACTCTTGCCTCTTCAATAAATTTGAAACTTGTTATGTCAGACCTCTGGAAACAAAGGGTCTGATCCAAAGCTCATTGGAATCACTGGAAGTTTTTCCATTAACTTCAGTGGGTTTTGGATCTAGCCTGTGTACGTAGCAGTTTTAAATTATGGTTCAACCATTAGACTGACTTTCTCTTCCCTCTCACTGTTTTCAGGAGTCTGGTGGAATTTATTCAGGAATGTCATTCCCAAATATTTCTTAAAAGACACTGTGTGAGTAAATTATAGTTCCAGAAATGATAAAGGGGGATTCAGGGAGTTTCATGACCTTGGTGCACTAAATGCGAGTTTTAGGAAGAAGCGGGAGAGGCATTGGGTTCTCATTAGGAACATAATTAAAGCTGTGGCTTCCTACAAAGGAATTCTTTATTTAAATTAGAGTAATGTTTTTTGGAAGGATTCTAAATATTAATGACACCTTTGAATTACTGTTTATTGAATTTTGGCTGTCTATAAGACTACCATTACCTTAGCCTTCATGTCCAGTTATTTGCCGGAGAAACATCCAGTTCCTTCCTGATCTTGGAGAAGTATTCAAATGACATGCTTTTTTTAGACTTGTTTAAAAAATAGAAAAAT